CGGGGAGATATAATAGTTTAGCGTTCAATTGCGGATTATTCATGTTCAATTAAATCTCAAAAGCAACTGACTTAATTTATCTGCAAAGAAGCGCTGTATCAACTAGAACATCATCATCAACAACTAACTCTCTATTCTAAGAGCACATTTTATAAGAACGCTGAGGGTAGATTTGCCCGAGGGGCGATTCACTCTTGCAAATTGCGTACGAGATTTTGTCTAAAACAACAAGATTTCTGGAAATTTTCAGATAAAACAATAGGATTTTCACAAAAGGTGTACGAGATTTTCTTAGAGTGATTTGCCCCTCGGATTTGCCAAACTATAAGAACCTTAGAAGATGTCATACAATAAGTAGAAAATTGGTAGAACGAACAATAACTCTTCAAAAATTTCTTTCATGTTAACAGAACAGAGCAGATTTTATTAGTTTATCAGCCTTGCTACAAAAAATGTCACGCAAAATTGTTTTTAGTAGGTCTAGAAACAAACAGCAGAAAAATCAATATTGCAATTAGAACAACATCAAAAACACTGGAGCCCCAAATCATTCGAAGAATAAGATCATTGAGCCTGGTTATTGAATCAAAACAATGGCAAGGTTATTCCAAGAAAATTCAATTCGAGCATCAGCCAAGAAGCCAATGGGCACTTCGACCAGACCATGTCTATGCGTGCAATCTACTACTGCAAGGTCAAAATGTAAAATATCAAAAACAATGTTTCATAGTCTAGGATAAACAATGTCAATATAAGTGACAAAATACAAACACAAAGCCAAGGACGTACTAGCATTTGTTGGAAGGTCACTTGGTTTCCAAATTTGGCATGATATACAAATGTGGAATTGAAATCGATGATTTTGTTTTCACATGGCATAATGCATACGGGGATAGGAGCCTTCGTGGCTCTGGTTTTAGCTTTAGAGAAATTGGCAAACTTTAACGATAGTCTGGCCTTCATTATTTTCGATGCCACAACATTGATATCCTACTTCAGCAAAAAAGTGAGCCCCCCTCCAGCCCTCCAGCCCTCCAGCCCTCCAGCCCCCCAGCCCTCCAGCTCTGACGCGCCTGGTGATTACCAACTCCAGGCCTAACGTTTCTTTTGAGAGTTTTGAAGTGATTAATATTCAAAGCACATTATTCTACTGATGTTTTACGACATCTCGACGACAACAGCTAAGTTCTGTTAAACCATGGTTAAACCGTGCCTCAGTTCGTTATTCTTCTTCTCTTCACATAACAATCATAGACAAAAAAAACTGATCACAAAATTCTACAAAAATTATTAATCACAGCTATGTAATTACAAGATAATTGCTTCTAAAAACCTAAAAGCCCAACAAAGAAGAAGAGCATGAAACAGGTCGCCTTAAGACCAAGGAATGCTATCAGATTTCATAATCTGACCTGAATGTAGAGATAAGAAATTCTCTCACATAATCTCTAGCATTCACTCAAAATGCTACAAACGAAACGCCGAAGAATCATTTTTTCCAGCCCTGCTATGGATACAGATAGTGAGCTAGATGTACTGCAGTTTGCCCTGAAGAAAGTAGTCGACAGATACTAACGTGGCTTGAAAAATCTGTCAATCAAACATTAGCCAATAAAAAAACGCGCGAGTCGTATCATGTTTATTGATTGGCCACTTAAGCATATGTCGATGCATTTAACAAAATTTACGAAACAAAATCCATGGACGGGTTGTAGCAAAGACAACAGATTATCTATCAGGTAAAGAACATATGTTTCTCTACAGTTCAAATTCGTTCCCGATGACGTAAAATTTAAATATCGCGAATTTGGACAATAGAAGTTGAAAGAGTATAACCGAGTATCAATAATTTTGCGAAATCCGTCAAATTTGTAATAAATTGACTGATAAATGATTCGTGAAAGACATACTGTAGAAATGCTATTGTTTTGGCGTAGTTCGTTAATCATTATGAATCTATCAGCTTGGAGGTGAATTGTAGAAGATGGGCAGGATAACTATCGAATCTCTATGAGGTCTAGTTGTCTAGCTGTTGACTCTTAAACATGTCACACTACTCAGGACAAAGATCTTTAAACAACCTTAAGAAAGTCCATTGTTTCATGCACCCGGATTCTAAAAAAACAATACTTCATTTGCTGAATAAAGGTGAAATACGCGAGATCAAAAGAGCATCCTTACTGGAACCTACTGCAAATTCAACGGAAGCAAAAACATAACCAGATAAACTAGATCTTACCACTTCTGTAAAATTTCTTTCTTCATAAAGCCAATATAATTCCCTCACCAAGCCATTCTTTCCAGTTTCTTCTTAAAAGACTCACATCCGCGCAAAGCCTCGCCTTTATATATCAACGCTATGCTTTTTAGTGGTTACGATGGCATTTTCACGAAAGCTTACTTGATAGAAAAATCTGTGTTTTAATCCAATGAATTGGGCTGAGACTTTTTCTTTTGGAAAGAGCTTTGAGGAGACCACGCCTCTACAGCAAGCTTGCTACTGATTTTAATACTCTTAACTTTGGAAACTAGCTTATTCGGGTTCACCGTCAAAAGTACATCGATCAAGCTGACTATTGATCCATAAGACCAGACCTAAATGATGTATGGGTAAAAGAAGTCTGACGCAGCGACGCAACGTATCAACCATCCACTCAAAGCTATTTGATAAAATTTTACAATTACTTAACTTAACATTTATTAAAGATTTAAAGCAGGTTTAAAGTGACAGAATTTATCTAGATTCGCTCATGAAAATGGGCGTTACTCCTGTTTCTGCGCTCTGGGAAGCTAAAAGGCGTGGCCAAGATGGATTTATAAAGACCCGCTTATGACCCGATTTATCAATCAATGTCTAATGACTGCCAACCTCTATCTACCTCTTATGTGATACTTGCAAAGCTGATTATAAATAATTGGAAATAGCCCCAGAGTAACATGCTTCTAAAAGTATATCATTACGCAGTTATTTCGGAGCAAAGAATCTTGCTTTTTCTTGATATTTGTGTATGCTTTTGCCAATCTGTAAGCGGGCAGCTCTAGGGAATAGTAACTTCTGCAAAGATCGGCCTATTATTCTACATAAGTACAAAACAAAGGTAAGCGTCATTGAGATCGGAATCGAGGCGACGGACAGATATAAAAATGGCGGACAGAGATGCCTAAAACAATAGAACCAACGAAGAAAACAAAATGAACTGGTTTAGTATATGGTAGACGGCATACGCAGTTTCTGAACTAGGCATATTCAAGGCCTTTTCAGATTGCTAAAAAGGCAATCCCGGTCTCGTTAACACAAAACTTTGTTTACAAACGTCGCCTTTCAGACATTACTGCCCACAACGGATCTACATAACAACAACAGACTTTTGTAACAGTTATAACCCCGCCCACTAAACGGCATCTAATTCCGTTTCTGATCTTTCTGCAGCGTTGGTTAGACTTTATAATCACTATGCACAATGCACAATGAAAGCGTCTGCAGGTGAAATCTCAGGATTAAAATGCGCCCCTCCCACTAGGTAACAGAAGGTGAGAAAACATACAGCATTAGGTTTTACCCGGTCTTGAAAAAGTATCTTGTGGAAAAGTGTCTTATATGTGGTGTTAAATATGCCTGAATGCTGAAGCTGTAGAAGTAGAGGGTAATTAAACTATTATAATTAGAGGATTTCTACTTAAGAAGCGAGTAACGGTACTTTTAACACTATACTCATAACTGTACGAAATTAAGTCTTATTGTCAATAACTATACAGCCGTAGTTTATTCAATACTTTGAATTTGTTTGAAAATCCACCTCTATACGAGACCTGATTCCCACTAGACCGTTTCACAAAGCCAATAGATACATAGGTCTTTAGCAATAGCGAGAGATCACGGTTATAACCATGGCAACATCAACACGGCATTTTGGACCGACATCTTAACAAAATTCGTAGTCAACGCAGATCTGGCCACCAATGTTTCAACCGGTATAATCCGGACATCGAACGGTATCCGGCAAATTGAATAGATTTTGTGCTATCTTCAGGGATGGGCACGTGGTCCAATATTATGGGGGTAAGCCTATTGCTTTGATAAGAAGAAGTCATATTTTCCCATTAATTTAGAAGAAAAGATAATTTTCCTCCGAAAAATTGGGGGGTGGGGAGGGGCGAGAGAAGCGAGAAAAGCCCCCAAGGTGTCCGCCACTGGCAATCTTCCTTGAGAATATTGCATACTTTGTGGGAAAATTTCTTGAATGAAAAATGAAATGCAGGCAGTTCTATGTTGAAAAAAATCTACTTTCTCTATACACTATCGCTGCTTAATGTTTTACAACTTCCCCTGTTTAATGACGATTTTCTTTCTCAATACATTCATAGAGTTTTCAGTGGTCTTACCTGTTAAATGGTTGAGCTAAAGCAACAGTGTAACGGGACGGGGGGCGGGAGTTCTATAAAAACGAGTTTCGCAGTAACGCTCCGGCAATTTTGGCAGTAGATGTGGCCCCACATGTTGGTAAAAGAGAAACAGATGAGGCAATTCTTTCCTTCATAATAGAAAATTGATACAAAAAGTGTAAACATTACATGTTGGAAAAACAGCAAGAAATGCAATGCAAAGGACCGTTATGTGAGCTCATGACTAGAAATGAAATCGTGAAATGCCTTTGAGGTTCAAAAAACCACCACAAATACCAAAACAGAAAGAAATTCTATAAAACTGGATAAATTTTTGCTCGTAAGAAATCAGAGTAGAAGAACCTGAAGCTATTCCATACGCGACAAATTGCCAAAAGCATAAAACGTTTAGATAAAGCAGATAATGTTCACAAATAACAATGACCTTAAAAAACCAGACACTATCATTTTCAATGCGAGAGGCTTCGATTTATCTGCCATGCTACGGGACATGCAGACATCATAGAAACAACTTCTGGCATCAAAAACCTGTGATGATGCTTTCAAATCATGATAAAAAACACGACCTTATAAAACTGAAAACTTATTAAACATACCGATACAGTCTCGTGATTTCATGAAAACCTCACATCAAACGATGAAAATCTCATCTGTCATAGTAGAAGATCGCAAACTCTAGATTGACGTGCGCTTCTCAAAGTGGTGTTGCTCAGACAACGTTGTGTTACAATCTGAAACGATTAGTCTGTGAATTTTCCAAAGGCACAATCTTTTAAATGATTTCCCTTTCTTGAACACACTTGGTAAATAGCATTAGGAAGGCTCGTTTTACACGACCGAAGACTGTATTCTACGATTTGAAAAACCATCAGTTTTAATATAAAATTGATTGAAGAGGCTTTCGTGTAAATTAGACAAAGCAGGAGATTAAGGAGAAGCCACAAAATTTAAGAACGAAATCACATTAGGGTGACGTACCACTTGAGAGATGGCTATATAAAGATGGCTGTCAAAACACGGTGATTGGTTGATCAACATTGCTAAACAGCTGTTACTACATGGAGAGAAAATGAGAAACTGTCTCAAACTAACCTCCGCAACTTGGTTGCAACAAAGGGAACAAATTGTTTGCTGAGTGCCGAAAAACGTGATTATTAAAACGGGCTAGGATCCGAGAATCCGAGAGCGTTCGAGAATCCGAGAATCTGAATCGCACTACGAGAATCCGAAACAATCAAAACCACAACAGATTTCATGATCGCTTTTATTTAAACGATTTTAAAGCAGTTTTATCATGTCGTTGAAGCTAGTTAGTAGAGATGTAATCAGCGTGACAACGGAAAACCTGTTCAAAAATCTAGACTTTACCAGCTCGATGGATTTCTGCGAAAATATTTGCGCGCGATGAAGTAGCAAGCATTAAATTCCGATGAAGTAGCAAGCATTTAATAATTTCTTCACTTCACATTAAATTCAGCGCTACAACAATTTTATTGCAAGCCATTCGCGCATGCGCAAGTGACGAAGTCAACGATTAAAACGTGTCACGTGATATCACACACGGCTTTGCTTGCATATAAGTGCACCCAGTTGTTGAGTATTCGCTATTATTAAACATTAATTGGATACTATCATCAGTAACAAAATGATACTGTTATCAGAAAATTCGAAAAGCTGGCCTTTAAAACCCTATCACTTGCCCTTACCCTAGCCGATGAGCTGAATGCAATCTTAATAAATACAATTAATATATTAAAAGTTATATTTAAAGTCTTTTCCCAAAAAATCATAAATTGAAAACTGACAGAAATCATTGTGCATGCGATATGAAACATGTAGTTAGAGCATTCATACTCACATTGGTTTGGATGTTTCATGGTTGAAGAATTGATCAACGAAAAAAACTCAAGAAATTTTACTCGAGCAAAAAACCTTGAGACATAAGGTTGATTAAGTTGACACTCACTATAGGAAGTTGAATGAGAAATCTGTTGCGATGAAAGAGGGCTTCTGGTAGAGATCTACACGACTAAACACAAACAAATCCTTTTATGAAACACATTCTAAAGAGATCTAAGACACTTTCATATATACTTCAATTAATAAGGTGATTTGAAACAGCCCAGAGTGAGAGGAAACACAGGCGAAACAGATGTAGTTCTAACTTACAGGCAAACGGCACAGAATTTATTTTGCGTTACACAACTTTGTAAGATACTATCTTTACGAAACTCTGGTTGCCTTTTTCTGAAACATTCGAGAAAGTCTGAAACAAATTTGAGGTCACCACATCGATAACAAGCCAATCAATCATAATGAATCTCATTTTCTTAATTTACATTTCGTGCAGTTAGGCCTTAGGAAACAGCTCTATTCGTATGAAAATTGAATCAAGTTTGAAGTAGCTTTTAGACAACCAGGATCTATATCTGCTGTTTTTTGTTAAAGAAATCTTCTAGAAGCTATTGCAGGTTATCTAGAATATAAGAAATATGCTTTCTTTTTTCACTTATGCGTTTTATTTTCAGAATTTTGTTGAATCATCAATAAAAAACATTCCAATTATACATATTATACAAACGGTTGAGCATGGGAAAATCTCAATTTATTTATGATTCCAAACTTAAATCTCATGACCCCAAAATGAATCAGTGGACACTTAGAAAATCTTTCAGGAGATGCAAAAGACTCAACTTTTGATAAAAGCAGAGTTTGTAGCTGCATTTAAAAATTACCACTTGAAAGGCACATTTCCAATTGTTGGCTCTTGCAACCATTCATGTCACTTTTAGATTTTTGCCATTTTTAAAGGAGATCTCATCTCTTTTGCCTTCAAGCGAAAATTTTTATAACTGCAGAAATTGATTAAGATCAAGAACAAATTAGGAAGCGGAGGGCGAGAAACAATTAAATGTAAAAATGTAGAAACATTTTTCTCCAGAATATATTTTCAATGGCAGGGCATTTCTTTTGCAAATAATATCATAAAGCTTATACCCACACTATATACACCCAATGTTTTTTGTAGTAGTACGTACTCAAAGCTAGATGGAAGATAAATCATATTATCGTACTTATGGCACGCTGCAGTTGCCTTTGATAAATAAAATCATGATTATAGAGTAGAAGATAACTAAACACAAGACATGTTATCTGTTACTCAGAGTTTCATGCTTGCACAATCATCAGACAGACTATAATGAGAAATATTCCTGCCACCACGGTATAAATGTACAAAAGGTGTTATAAATTCTGACAAAGAAAATTTTGTTTGATAGAGGTTAGTTTCTTCATGTAGGTATTTATTGGCGTTATTGGTTTATTTTTCATTTAATAGTTGAACCTTGTATGTTCCATTTCTAGCGTTTCAGAATACGACAAAAGTGCTCGACTTTGCAGCAGCATGAATATTCCAGATTGTGTTGATTATTCTGACGTAACAGTGGTCCACCAGCCTTAGCACAGAGAAATTGATATAATAGAAGATAGGCTAAAATTATGATAACATGATTACATAGCGATGCCTTTCTGACTGTCCTCTTTTCCCCAAAATGTTTCCCCAATTCTCAAGATGAGGGTTCCTAGTTGAAATGTGTCATTACGTCATTACGTCATGTCATTACGTCACGTCATTACGTCATGTCATCTCCGTTTTGACACATTAGCTATTTTGACACATTAGCTCACGTTATGTTAGTACCTTAAAGTTACTTTGATACGGGACAGATTGCAGTTGTAGATCTAAGTTCATATATCTTCATCACATCTACAACTATACAACAAATTATTATCAAACAATGTACATCTTCTTCACTGACCACTATCAGCTGCTTATAGACGTAAAACGTGATTCCGAATTATTGTTTACAAGAATGATAGCAGAATTGTGCCCTGGTCGCAATTCACTTCATTACAAGATGATGCCAAACGAAAAATCGACAACAATGCAATGCTTTGAGCCAATCAAAGAATTGCCAACGGCGTTTAAAAATAGTTTAAGGAAATTGATCAAGGGAACTTAATAAGCATTTAATCGAGCAGACAGTGACATTGGCATTGGCACTGGTGGTCTACTCTTCAATCAAGCAATGTTTGGCTGATTCTATAAACAAGCAATGCTTGAGAGAAAGAGCTGAAAGAAATAAACTGACAAGAAGCATTCTGATAATCGAAAACGCGATTGGAAAAACAAAGATTGCCCCGGTACGCTGTCAGATAATTTCATGATTCCTTTAGATCCATATTTCGTGAAATGCAGATTCAAATATCTCAGAATCAAATATTCAAATGTCCTTATCCTATATTATGCCTTACAGTAGAGTTTTGAACAGATACTGGAAAAATCTTAAAAATTAACATCGGGTGTTTAAAGGGTGCTGCTTCAAGCTACAACTAAACACGTCTAAAACACTACGAGGTATGAAGTGGACAAAGCCTAAACAAAATGGACAAAAATAGTCAAATTTAAAGGAGTTTGGTTTCAAGGGCATTGCCTGATCCCCAGCTTGCACAAAAAATATCAGTCAAACTTTGCAGGGTACAATAAATTCCGATGGATAACTGCTTCGAAATTATACTTGTATCTTTGGGTGAAGATCACAATTCGAACTACCCAAAAAATTACTTTTTCCGCCCCCTTCCCCCCAAATAAATGTTGATGATTTAGTGAAATATCATTAAAGAAGTGCAAAAGAAAGTGCTTCCTAAAATCCTAACCCGTTTGATAGTAAACCAAGATTGTTCTGTAGGGGAGAAGGGAATGATTGATTTTGATTTTGGAAATTGACGTCAGTGTTCCAAGACTTTTGGCAGGCATTGTAGTTATATGGCATAACTAAGAATGACAAGGATTATAGCGATTCAGAATCAAATAGACACACCTATCTGTCTGGTGCAATTTACCTTCACAAGTGTAAAATGCAGTCAATGCATTCCTAGATTTTGTACGTTTTCAGGCTAGCTACGTTTTCGACTTACTGATTTCGCTCGATGCGTTGCAGAAAATCTCATTAAAGTTTTTACAAATAACATCTAATTAACGGGTTCGGGTGGATTTGAAAAGACTGATTACTTTAAGCCTTCCCGCGTGACAGTTTTTGATTTTTCAGCTTTTGTCATAGCAAGGGCTGTTTTCCAACGATTAATAGGAAGCAAAAAACATTATTTTTATACTATATGACTCAGCGGTTTCCTAAAGTAATTATTTCACGAGTGTATAATATCCGCTGTAAGTGTAATTAAACTATAATTAAATGTGCACCGTTTTCGTGTGTTTCGTCTTGCTGACCTTTAACTTTAAAACTGCAAACTGGCCATTGCCATTTGGCTTTTTAAACAACCAGCATATGTGGGCATCCGAAAGTTAAGAAAAGTTTGTGAAGAATTTAAACTCTTTTCAAGTGGGAGGTCTGCAAAGAATTTAGACTCAATTCCGCAACTATCAACCGAAGATATTGAAAAAGGCAATACTTCCATGCTCTGCATAGGCCTTCTCTCTCGTCAAAAAGGGCAATAGGGTGGCGGGTTCTCTTAACCTGAGTAAATTTATCCATTGGAAGTACGAGTTGTTTCAATAAACTTTAAATAAATTTAATGGAACCTTTTCAGATGGCACGGGACTGCATTTTGCATTTATTGATAATGTTGAAGCAAAAACTCATTTAAAACTGAAACAAAATTGCTAAGCCTATATCTTTTTAAAGGTTGTTGAAAAAACTGCCTGTCTGATAAATATACAACGTTTTATCTTGGAAAAGGTTTAGAATTCGAGATAGGCTTGCTTATGGTTGCCTTAAGATCTATCTCGGCTTCATCCTAATCAAACACCATTAGCGTGAACAACCAGAGATG